TTATATGTTCTTCTTTTATTCTTTTAGTGTCCTACCGGCTAATGCCGCAAAGCGTCGCAAGTTGAGAGTTAGACGAAGTACATGGTGGTTCATAGCAAAAACAAATGGACGTCGCTTAGTGAACAAAGGCTGGCATATGAAATCACAACGTAGTTTGAGAATGGAGGTAGGGCAGTCACTGCTTCCTTTCGCTGGACTGAGAATCAGCTGTAAAGACATGTCATTACTGTAACTGACTCATAGAGTATGTTAAGAAAGGTGAAGACATAAATATTCCGTGCAGATTAGCAAGCATCGCTTCAAAGGTCCCGGGTAGTTAGCGATATTTTCTCCATGTCTTGCTGTTGTGTTGGGAAACGAGTAGGCAGACAGACTGGCCAGCTCTGCACCACTTGGTGATGAACTGATGTATGACAAGCTAGATGTTGTGAGGGCCATTTGAGAGCGAGCGAACGATGCGAGGGCACGAACAGACCATTACGGTCTGTGGAAAAAGACGCTGTGTATAGTTACCTAGAAAACTGGCCGACGCTCAGCACTTAAGGAAGGGCCAGACGGATGTACAGTCAGACAGTAACTGATACAATCGGAACTGCAACTCTTCGCTTGCTGCTGAAGATGGGGACGGAGCGCTTATAGGAGCATCCCGAGTGCTATGATGTGGATTCTCAATTCAAAGTCCATTCAACATTCAGCGTCGCAGAGAGTTGTATGCAGTTTCCTGTCTTTTGCTAGTTGTTGTCAAACTGCGTTTCTGTGGTGTCTCTTTTACTCCATCCAGCCATATCTTTCTTGGTACGCCTCTTGCCTTGTAGCCTGCTGTTCTCGTGAAGTAAGCTCTACCTGCTGGCTGATTGTGTTCCAAGAACAACGCATTCCATTCCTGCACACATCAGCCAATGGCAGGACACTAACATTTCTTGACACTGCTAAGATTCGTTACCTGCGCCCTAAATCCATGTATACAGAAAGATATGGCTCTGACATTGAGGCTGCCCTGGTAAAACAGGCAGTTATGTTTGATTGTTGTTGAATTTGTGCTTCAGTTGTAAAGGATTCACTTATCTACTTCATTTATTTAATTGTGACTGAAGTATGCACCTGACGAGATACAGCGAAATTTGCCAGGCAATACATTGTGCAATCTGTTGTTTATGACTTTTTTGTTCAAATTCACAACGAGGAAACACTGTTTTGATTTTGTTCCATACTGATCCGATGACCAAACCATTTGATCCTTTCGTGTTCTATGAGATCGTTTACCGATAGTGCGCCTACTGCTGGTCTTAGTTCTTCGTTGGTGTCCCTGTCTCTGTCTCTTCTTGTGCCCCCCCCCCCCCCCCTTTTTCCCCCCATTTTTTTTTTTTATTATATTTGTATAGGATGGGTTACAACATTAGCAAGACCTTGAAACCACCATTTTACAGTGGACAAATAACTGGAAACAAAATCTGAAGAAATTCGGTATTTATGTGTAATGTCATAATACAGTTTCCTTGAGGTGGATTTATTGAAATTAAATGGGACTCCATGCCTGTCTAGTCAGGGAGATGAAGTAACAAAGCTACACACTGAACATTATCCTAGGGGGAGGGGAGGGACACGGGTTACTGGTCTTGAGGCATGGCGTCCGCCTCGAGTGCTGAAGGTCCCGGGTTCAAGCCCCGTTGAATTCAGGTTTATTTTCACGTGGACCTCTAGTACTTTTCCCTGGCTCTGGTTAGTAAAATCGGACGCCCGTGTGTATTGTTGCCCAGGTAAAAAATCTCTTGACAATTGGAAAACGAAAAGAGTAGCATAACGGCGCTGCCCGGGCAGAATGTTGAGTTAAAAATCTACCCAAAGTATTTCAGGATCCTCGTCGGTGCTACGGAGTTCGTGCACCACTCTGAGACACTTCGGACTCAGGCTTTATTCAGAAGTAGAATGGAGCACTTGTGGGTTACTACCCTTGTGCCATGATGCTGATCCGTTGTTTAAACCAAACCAAATCTAGTCTCAAATGGGATACCGTGACATGAACTGGGAAAGAAAGACGTTCGACACAGAGGCTTCAGTATGTGGGGTCTCAGATCAATTGAACCCACCCGCCCCGCTCAGCCCCAGGTTCCATAAATTTGTAAAGGGGTTTTTAAAAGCCTTAAACTATGTATATAAATGTTGTATTTCAAAATCTTTTCAAACATTTTATATTTTTTCGTATATATTATTAGATTTACTTGCGTTAATAATAATAATAATAATAATAATAATAATGTGCCAAATGACAAATAAGTGTAATAACATACTTAAAATAATCTGAATTACCAAAAAATACTTTAATGGAAAATGTTTAAAGATGTTTGAAGCTTTTGCTCACTTCGGATGAAAAAAGCACTCCTCGCCCATTTACTTTTTTAGGATTACACTCAATGACATGAAACCCTGAGTCCATACGTCCTTTCATACGACCGTCTTTCGGTCTGTCTTTGTATGTGAATGTGAGATGTGAGCCTATCTCTACGTGTAGATTCTTCATGCGTATGAATGTGAGAGAGCAGGGGAGAGAGAGAGAGAGAGAGAGAGAGAGAGAGAGAGAGAGAGAGAGAGAGAGAGAGAGAGAGAGAGAGAGAGAGAATGTGAAATGAGTGAACTTGACAAAGAAGATAGGAAAACGTGAATTGCATTAGGTTTACAATGTAACAAAACGAAAAAGATAAGATTCACTTACTTAAAGAAGTTCAGCCTGCCGCCTGCATACGCCGTATCCCACACAGCCTTAGGTCCCCCAGCGTCAATTGTGCCCTAAACCCAGGACAGAACAAGTTAGTTATCAGTCTTTTCTCCCATTGAATGCTACAGTAATTTTTGATATCAACATTTGGTACATATCCCGAATCTACCCGCATCTCACCGGCACTAGATATTTCCTGTCAGCTCCCATTAATGCTGTGGCCGTTCCCAAGGGCTGATCTATGTTCTACGGGTGTTAATGCGTTCCTTCCCCTGTTTCACCGTCTTTACACACCGTGCGGAAAATCGTTCCAGGCCCGACACGACTAGAATGCTCATCTCTCTTTCCTGGCAGGCAAGTGTAAGCGGGCGAGTGTTTAACTAAGTTTTCGTTTCTCTGTGAACTACGTCTCTTGTTCAAGCCTCAGTAGTCTGAGAATTGGAGACATTTTTGGGCAGGGAGGGGGTCCTCTGCACTGTCGATAGTTCAAACGGTGGCATCTCCAATGGTCCAGTTCGGCGAGAGCACCATCAGATGATTCCTGGAACAGCGCCTGGCTGAATGCAAGATGCTGTGTTGCTGCAGAAAAGCAGGGCTACTCTGCTGTTCGTTCTCCAATGCTGACTGTTGAAGGAAATTCATATCGTAGTTTAAGTCACCAGATAGGCCACAGTGATAACGATGAAGAGCCAAGGCACAACGCTGTAACATACACAGTGCCACCCGACGCTCACAGCAATGTTGAAAATTAAACGCGTTGCTGGTCGCTCACAACGTGGAACATAGGACGCTTAGAGGGTTGAAAATAACACAACGTGACACCCCTAGAACATAGAACAGCCTGTGAGAACGGCCACAATATGAGTGGGAGCCGACAGACAATCTCGCGTGCCGGCGAGATGCAGGCAGGTTTGTGATATATACCCAACATATTTGTCGTGGCTAAAGAGCAGTGAATTGCAAAAGTGGATGCATGCTTTTACATAATTTCTTTTTTGTTCCCAGCTATATACCGTTTCCACAATGAATGTTAAACGTAAAGTAAAGGACCCTTTTCCACGCCTTTAGGCGTATAGGGCATATAGGGCTAGACCCATATTTTTGTAGACCAAGCGGCACAAAATAGTGATGTGGTCAGCATCACGCTGGCCGCTTTTACCTCCCGGGACTGCACCTGGTACCCACTCAAGGCTGGGTCGACCTGGGAGCCAAGGTCATTTTAGAAAATAGTCCGGCTCCGCCAGGGAGCGAACCCACGACCTTTTCGACCACGGCGACTCCCAATGAAGATTAACCACAGTCCATTAACTTTCAATAAATATTAAGCAGTTAGGTCCCATTCTCTGCCACGTTGCGACTATCGTCTGCAAGCCTGTATGTTAATAAATCATCTACTGCAGAAATCGATTCCTAATACTCTAAGATCATGAAATTGTATAGAAAAGATATAAAACCGAACGAAAAATATATTAGCAAGCTTCACAATATAACAAATACAAACAAAACGTGAACGTTGCAGCCATCTAATCTCTAAGTCGCAGAGCTGCTGAAAGTGGTAATACAAGCCTACAGTGAGAAAGATAGTTTGGTAGTTTGGCTGCTCAATTTAACCTGTTTCTTACAATGTACCAGTTGGTGGCAGCTTGTCTGTCAAAGTTAATTCTTATCTATCAGTTCACCTGTTGGGTACACTATGTCTGTCCATGTTAATTGTTATCTATCAGAGTTTATATGCGTGGTGTTCTTGCCAACGTTAAAAAGTGAGTTGCTTATCCTTTACAGGACGTTGCAGATGGCTGTCCTGGTTTTTTCTAGGCACATTCACGTCCGGTGGTTTCTGTCAGCGTTATTTGTCACATATTGGAGATTAATTACTAGGCGAAACTTGTCTGTCAGTGTTACTTGTTATATATTAGAGTTTATGTGTTGGGTGGCTCATGTATGCTAGAGTGTGTTTACTGTATATCCTCATGTCTCAAATGCAATGTATCAGTTGGAGAAAATATGTTTTTAGTGGTCAAATTATTGAGTCTGATGACTGGCACTTTTAAGTCTTTCCAGACGATAGTGTTATATTGCGATACGAGGAGCCATGAGACTCACAGCCCATGGCGACGACGAGTGTGACTAGCAAGAAGTCTTTAACAATTAAAGCATGGAATTTCAAGACTGTTGTTGTCAACATTTATGTTTAGTCTATTTCGTCCAAGATGTTCAGCTCTTATCCTTTCTGCAGCCATTTCTTCCTTTATTCTCATTCCTTTCCTGATGTGTCCTTTCCACATAACATGGTCCATGGCACTTTGTTCCCACGAGTTCACCTCAGTACCTGTATCATTCACGACCCGCTTGCACACATATTTATTTCAGAGTAGTGGTCGCTCTCGACATCTTCTACAATTGTTGTATATAATCCCTTAGAATTTGCCTGCTGGATTCAGTCTGCAGGTTTTCGCTGAGCTCAGTGTTTTCTCTTAGAAAATACCCGTACTCTTTTGTTGCGATCGGTCTATAAGTTTTCTAGTTTGGTACAATCTTTCTTTACGTTTTCTGGTTTGAAACAATCTTTCTATAAGTTTTCTAGTTTGGTACAATCGTCCTTCAGGTTTTCTAGTTTAGTACAATCTTTCTATACGGTTTCTAGTTTGGTACAATCCTTCTCTACGTTTTCTAATTGGTAAATCAATTTTTTTTCTTTTTGTTTAGTAAATCTTCCTATTAGTCTTCTAGTTTGGTAATCCGTCTTTCCAAATCTACGTATGGGTTACTACGTGTCTTATGTCTGTTTACCTCAAATTTAAACTATTCTCTTATTATCACCCAGCAGTTAATGTCTCTGTTACAGCTACCTTGATAAGTAAAGTTGGCTTTTCACGCAAAGAAACTTACTCTCATAATAGGCTGGATGGTCCTCGAAGCTTTAGGTCGATTATTACAGTTAAAGTCGATAGGGTCAACTTCAAAGCGCCTAATGTATTCCATATCGTTTGGTCTTTCTCCCTCTTTACTCTCTCTCTCTCTCTCTCTCTCTCTCTCTCTCTCTCTCTCTCTCTCTCTCTCTCTGTCTCTCTATCTCTATCTCTCTCTCTCTCTCTTTATCTCTCTCTCTTTATCTCTCTCTCTCTCTCTCTCTCTCTCTCTCTCTCTCTCTCTCTCTCTCTCTCTCTCTCTGTGTGTGTGAGTGTGTTAGTCACCTACCGGGGACGTTGCAAAAAGTACGAATTCCTTAGCTCTAGCATTGATACCCATAGATTTCCATAAACACTCCATTCATGAAACGAATGACGAGTCCGTGACATATATCCACAACCTCCAGGAAGATGATGACCCCCCTTCCCCTCTCTTCTCCCTCTCGCTCTCTCTCTCTCTCTCTCTCTCTCTCTATCTATCTATCTATCTATCTATCTATCTATCTATCTATCTATCTATCTATCTATCTATCTATCTATCTATCTATCTATCTATCTATCTATCTATCTATCTATCTATCTATCTATCTATCTATCTATCTATCTATCTATCTATCTATCTATCTATCTATCTATCTATCTATCTATCTATCTATCTATCTATCTATCTATCTATCTATCTATCTATCTATCTATCTATCTATCTATCTATCTATCTATCTATCGATCTATCTATCTATCGATCTATCTATCTATCTATCTATCTATCTATCTATCTATCTATCTATCTATCTATCTATCTATCTATCTATCTATCTATCTATCTATCTATCTATCTATCTATCTATCTATCTATCTATCTATCTATCTATCTATCTATCTATCTATCTATCTATCTATCTATCTATCTATCTATCTATCTCTATCTCTATTTCTCTCTCTTTATCTCTCTCTTTCTCTCTCTCTCTCTCTCTCTCTCTCTCTCTCTCTCTCTCGCTGTTAGTCATCTGCCTGTGGAGTCCGTGACACACATCCACAACTTTCAGGACGATGATGACTCCCCTTCCCTCATCCAGAGTCGACCCCTCCCTCCTTCTTCCCAGTTATTCGGATGTTCTTACAGTAATAATAAAGATGTCCTACCTTTATAAGGATGGCGAAAATGCCAGCAAACATCACAAAGGCCTGAAAGACATCTGTCCAGATGACAGCCTTCAGTCCGCCCTGATGAAGAATGCAGTCAAAACTGTTTAGCAAGCATTGACACTGTGTACGTAGATAGGACGAATTAAAAAAGACAGGGAAAAAATTATGGCAAATATCTAACAACATCAGAAATCAACAGTTATAGGACAAAGGAAGTTTGCGATATATTGGATCCATCGTAAGGTAGAGCATATATAAAATCCTCAAACAATCACTGAAATAGGAAATAACAGACCGAGGAAAATGCCAAACCAAAACTATAGGTTTGTTCACAAATTCTTACAAGAACATGATTATTTACAAGTTGCATGCCAAATTTTGGTGCTTTATTAATATCCTACCGTAAACAGGAGAAATCCACAGGTCACAGGAAAGTCTAATATTTCAGGGGGTGGTAGATAGGCTGCATGCATTCGTGGGACCAAGGCTGCACTCTCTCTTTGGATGTAAGTGGTTTGGGTTAGGGCCAGTTCTGTTTTGGGGTCCTTAAAAGCATCAGAAAGCCGGAAAACCCAGTCTTACCACCTTCTAAAATGTTGGACTGTCATGTTGCGTCATCTCGGTTAAGATATTAATAAGGAACCCAAATTTCAACAACTTATGCCAAACGGTTACCGTGTTACAGATTTTTAAAGGTGGGCAAGACTTTTGGAACGGGGTATAACAGTGAAAGGTTTGGTAGGTCAGCTTTTCAGGTTGTAACTTCGTATAGTCTTCTGTCTTTCTTAATTTGTTTTCAGATGGAATTGAACTATTTTCCCATCACTTGACCACGGTCGCACGTAAGAAGATAAAAGAGCAAGATTACACAGGTATATCATACTTACAAATGCTGTGTAGATCACGGCGACCAGTTCGATAATAAAGATGGAACTCCACAAGGGAAAGTCGGTCACTGGTTGGAGAGGGGAAAAACAAGAATTACATATTTATTAGCAAAAAAACATAAAGTTTTATTTCTTCTTCCTCTTTTTCTTCTTCGCGTTCACCGGCTGTAAACTCCTGCGAAAAGTTCTGGTTGTTCTTCCACTTCTGAACTTTAGTCTTGCTCCAATACCTGAGTGTTGCGTGTGCATCTGTTTTACATATTTATTGGTGTGGAAGTCGCCGTGATGTAGCGGCTAAGCGCTCGCCTGCGGATCTGATGCTCGTGATTTCAAATCTAAAAGGTCTTAGGTTTTTTTTTTTTTTAAATGACTGACTCACAGGTCGACCTAACCCTAAAGAGGTACCAGATACAATCATGGGAAGTAAAGGTGGCCATCTTGATGCTGCACATCGCCCACAGAGTGCTGATTGGTCTATAAAATATATGTCTAGGCCTATGTGCCCAACACGGCTGGAGGCTTGGAAAAGGGACTTTTGCTGGTAATTAGTTATTGATGTGGACAAAGGGACGAAGGAGAAGCTATCAAAGATGACTAGACGCTGCCTGCAAACGCGAAGGTGTTGATCTGAATTCGAGTGGATCATCAGTTCTCGTTATGCCTATTGGCGCATGAGGCTTCAAAGAGGACTTTCCATGCTTTCCTGTCCTGTGCAATCTTCAGTGCAGTTTTCCATGTCAAAGATGCTGTACTCAGGTCACATTCCATCGTTCGTCCCCATGTTGTTTTTGGGCGCCCCTGTTTTCTCTTTCCCTCTGGTGTCCATGTGAGAGCTGTTTTTGCGGGTATATCAGGATTCATTCTCATAACGTGGCCAAGCCATTTCCATCTTCTCTTGGTTATCATACTGTCTAAAGTTTCTTGGTTGGTGACTTGAAGTAGTTTAGTGTTTGAGACTGTATCTGGCCAGAAAATTTTGATAATTCTACGTAGACATGTGTGGTGGAAGGTGGACAGCTTGTGTGCATCCTTTTTGGTCATTCTCCAGCAATCCGTTCCATAAAGAAGAACTGGCAAAATGATGCTCTTGTAGAGTTGGAGTTTTGTTTCTCTGCAGTAATTGTTGGATTTCCCGATTTGCCTCATCCTTCCAAACGCAGCTCTAGCTTTGTTCAGTCGTGACTAGGTGTCCTCTTCGGTCCCTTCTGGCAGGGACACCACACTGCCAAGATATGTGAAATGTTCTACATTTTCAAGAGTTTGGTTATTTATGGTCACTGGTTGTTGGTTTGGACTGCTTGTCATGATATTAGTTCTCTTTGTATTTATTCTCAGTCCCACCATTTCTGCTGTTACTTTTTCTTGTGTATGTTCATGTTTATGTGATAGGAGTGCTATATCATCTGCAAAATCAAGGTCCTCAAGCATGGTGAATGGAGTCCATCGTATGCCTCTCAATGTCCTGTCTACTGAATTTTTTAGTATCCAATCAATCACAAGGTTGAAGAGGAGAGATGACATAACACATCCCTGTCTTACACCTGTCTTTACTGAGAAAGATGTATTGTAATTTTTTATACTGCAGGAAAAGTCTTCGTAGAAGAGGGCAATTATGTTGACTTTTTTTTTCTGGAATTCTATAATGTCGTAACATTTTCCACAGACCGTCTCTATAGACGCTGTCAAAAGCTTTCTCAAAGTCCACAAAATTTATATATATATACTTCTCTGCCATTCATTGCATTGTTCAAAAATGTTACGTATGGCGAAGTTGTGTTCAGTTGTTCCTCTGCCCTTTCTGAATCCTGCTTGTTCCACTCGTAGGCATTTATCTACTCCTTTTTCCAACCGCATTATGATGATTTTACAAAATATTTTGCTTTGTACTGAGAGTAGAGAAATTCCCCTCCAATTATTGCAGTCTGTTAAGTCTCCTTTTTTGGGAGATTTTGACTAATGCTCCTTCAGTCCAGTCATCAGGCAATACGCCTGAAGATGTGGAACAGGGACATTTACTATACGCCCAATACGCCTGAAGATGTGGAACAGGGACATCTACTATACGCCCAATACGCCTGAAGATGTGGAACAGGGACATTTACTATACGCCCAATACGCCTTAAGATATGGAACAGGGACATTTACTATACGCCCAATACGCCTGAAGATGTGGAACAGGGACATTTACTATATGCCCAAAACGCCTGAAGATGTGGAAAAGGGACATTTACTATATGCCCAAAACGCCTGAAGATGTGGAAAAGGGACATTTATTATATGCCCAAAACGCCTGAAGATGTGGAAAAGGGTCCTTTACTTTACTGTGAAAATGACCACCCTCCCTTTCTAGCAGGCAATACCAGACATTTCACTGACCTACTTACCAGCTTCTAGCGCTACTGCAGGTCCAAACAGAACTATGCCCATGTACCAGACCTGGAATGCACACATGAAAGGCTTTTTTGTACAAGCGGAGGAATTGGTAATGTTGTACCACCGCTACCACTACCAAAACCACTATTGTTGTTGTTGTTGTTATAATGATAATAATAATAATAATAATAATAATAATAATAATAATAATAATAATAATAATAATAATAATAATAATAATAATAGTAATAATAATAAGTATTATTATTATGAAGCAGCGAAATATCAAACAGCAATGAGAATGTGGCTTTTGACAGAAAGGTAAAAGACGAGCAAAAAAAACAAAAAAAGTAATTTTCTAACACACAAAAATTAAGTAAATGACTCCTTCTCCTCCCCTTTATGCATAATAACGTAATTTATAGACCAATCGGCACTTAGTTAATGATGTGGTCAACATCACGCCGGCCGCCTTTACTTTCTAAAACTTAATCTAGTATCCATTTAAGGTCCCGGGAACCAACGTTTTTTCTGAAGAAGAAAAAAAAAATCCTACTCCGTCAGAGCCTGAACCATAGCATCAAGCCGCTTGACCACGGTGGCTGCCTTAACACACAATAAACAGATGTCAAGTGACTGGAACAATAATACGTGGTGGCTGCCTTAACACACAATAAACAGATGTCCATTGACTGGAACAATAATACGTGGTGGCTGCCCTAACACACAATAAACAGATGTCAAGTGACTGGAACAATAATACGTGGTGGCTGCCTTAACACACAATAAACAGATGTCAAGTGACTGGAACAATAATACGTGGTGGCTGCCTTAACACACAATAAACAGATGTCCATTGACTGGAACAATAATACGTGGTGGCTGCCTTAACACACAATAAACAGATGTCAAGTGACTGGAACAATAATACGTGGTGGCTGCCCTAACACACAATAAACAGATGTCAAGTGACTGGAACAATAATACGTGGTGGCTGCCTTAACACACACTAAACAGATGTCAAGTGACTGGAACAATAATACGTGGTGGCTGCCTTAACACACAATAAACAGATGTCAAGTGACTGGAACAATAATACGTGGTGGCTGCCTTAACACACAATAAACAGATGTCAAGTGACTGGAACAATAATACGTGGTGGCTGCCTTAACACACAATAAACAGATGTCAAGTGACTGGAACAATAATACGTGGAGGGTTAGGATTTGTTGGACACGTTATAAGGGGAAACAAAATGTTTAACAGTTAATGATAACTAGGCAACGTGATGATAAAACCGTTAGGGAAATCACTGAGATAAGTATCTATATGACCTAGACCAGAGGCTTTCAAACTGGGTGCCGCGGTACCCTGGGGTGCCACGAGCGCATGCCAGGGGTGCCGCGGCAGTAATCAAGAAAACATTGTGAAATTATTCAAGAAGGTATTTAACTTAAGAGTTAAAATTCAAGTTGTCTTCCCTCGCCAATGTCGAAAAGAGTTTACTATTTGTGTTCCACTCAGCCTTGTTTCGTATTGCATAATATACCAACCGTTACGTTAAGAATTGTCCTTGTATTTATCTCGAGGTGCGACCGATCCTCTACCTGAATTTGTTAAGGTGCAGTCTGTAAGTAAAGTTATGGTTACATTGTGTCAGCAGACATCTGCCAGCCTAAGCCATCCAAGTGGGTCCGCATCACTTCGCGGAAAGGCAACTCACGACCACAAGAAAATCCTAGGAAAGCTAAGAAAATATTATCCTAGCTACTTTTTGGCTTTGTTTCGGTTGGGGACAAACAGGCACTGGAAGTGCAATGCTTTAATTACCATTGAAGTGTCGCTAACAGCTGCTTGGTCTAAATTACAGAGACACCTGGAATACAATCATTCTGATTTAGTACATAAAGGATAAGAAATCTGCAAACGCCACGCTTTGTCTCTTTAGGCAGAGTCATCCATGATTGAGAGAATTTCTACAAAAATGAAAATGAAAATGATATAATGCAAAATGCATCCAAACAGTTTCATTCATCGCAATAAAGGCAATTGAACGTTAAATTTGCACTTTTTTCTTCTTTCCCTAAGTATTCAACCGCTTTAAGGGTAGGAGTGCCGCGAACTTTTTTTTTTTAGCCCGACAAGGGTTCCGCGGCGAAAAAAGTTTGAGAACCGCTGATTTATACAGTAAAGTAAAGTAAAGGCCCCTTTTCACGCCTTTAGGCGCATCGGGCAAATAGGAAGAATTCCCATATTTTTACAGACAAATCGGCACTATGCGGGTAATGTGGTCAGCATTACGCCAGCCATATTTACTTCCCCAGGACATACATCCTGGTACCCATTTTAGGCTGGGTCGACCTGCGAAGCCCCATACCATGATAAAATTCCACGCAGCCAGCAGTGGGTTTCGATCGCGATACGTTGGAATTACGAGTGGGACTCGCAACGCTCATAGGTCGACCTAGCCTT